AGCGTATATCTAGAATCCTGTTTTTTCCAGTTTGTTCCTCGGATAGTATTACAGGTAGGCCACACCCCTGGGGAAACTCCCCCTAGACTGACCGGCCGCTTAGGACATAGTCATGTGATCCATCATGAGAAACAACACTCACAAGTGAAGTCCAGCCAAGTTGACAGATCTTCAACTATCACAGAGTGGCTGGTGGGTATGAACCTCAATTCTTCTGGTTAGCAAATGCCTTAGGCACTGTGCCACCAGAGGCACTCTCCCATGTTCACACATACATGATTTCACACATGCATTCTCACAGTTGTTTCACATATAGTCACATATACATGCATACACATGTTCTTACATGTACACTCACACATACTCACGTACACATGCTCTCATACATAATCTTAATACATATGCTCACATGCTCACTCACACATGATTACACACATGCACACTCACAACACACTTTCATACTTTCACTGTCACACACACACCCTCTCACATATCCATTCACATCTTCTTATGATCAGGCAGAGCAGGCAGGAGGTCATTGCTGCCAGAGACGGATACCAGTGTTCAACCAGGCCCTGAGCCAGGCCGTGCAGTGTCTGCGGGACACCTTCCCAACTCGGCAGCCCCTGGCAGGGATCTCAGGTTGGCAGCTCTAGTCAAATAACCAGTGGTGCTTGCCTGAGAGGGTGGTAGTCAAGAAGCTGTACCTGGGAATCAGCCAGTTGGGCGTAGAAACGTGGCCATGTCACTCATAAGCAACTTCTGTCACATCTTTGAGCCTTGATTTTCCATCTATTAAATGGGGTTCTTAACAGTGCCTACCTCATAGGGGGGTTGTGTGGATTTGCTGAGCCTCTGAAACACTTCACTGAGTGCTTGGCTCCGAGTAAGAGTGCAATAAATACTGTTCCTAGACAGTACCATTAAGGCTGAGCCTGCTGCTAACGAAGAAACCTCTCAGCTTGCACTTTGCAGTTTGGAATGACGGGTGGGTAGGGCCATGGTGCCTGCAGCCCTGGGGCCCAGGCTCATGAAGTCAGAGCGGCGTCGGAATGGCAGGTGTGAGCTTGAGACGTATGTCCAGGTGATCAGATAGTGGGGCACCGCTGAGCTGCACCCTCCTAACTGAGCCCTGCCCCACTTCCAAAGTCTCCTGCTGCCTCTAACAGCCCTGTTCTTGGTTTTGCAGCCAGAGCCCAAGCCTGGGGACCTGATTGAGATTTTCCGCCCTTTCTACAGACACTGGGCCATCTACGTTGGCGATGGATATGTGATCCACCTGGCCCCCCCAAGTAAGGGCCGCTGGGCTGGGCCCTGGGGCTGGGAGGAGAGGGAGATGGGGAGCTGTGGGTAGCAGGTGACCCTGCCATCCTCCCTGCCTCCTGACTGGTGGTGGGTTCCTGAGTGTTAAAAGGAGTCCATTTCTGTGGGGCAGTGGTTCTCCAACTTTGCCCTGGGAACCCCGGGGGTTCTGTAGACGAGCTGAGGTAGGAGTCTGGTGGGTAGCTCTGCTTTCCCATGTTTTACATATTATGTCTTTGTCCTAAACTGGTTCAACTCTTAGGCATAAAACTCTTGGAAAGACCACAGGTGTTTGTGAAGGGCAGTGTTTGCACAGGGAAATAGCTCAGAGGGGTGGAGTGGGGTGGGAGTACATGGGAGGGAAGGACACAGGGAAGAGGTAATTATGGGGAGGAAGTGGGAAGAGAGCTGTTACATTGTGGAGAATTGCAGTCAATGTCATGAGACAAAATGTGTATGAAGTGCTGTATGGAAAATGAATTTGCTCTGTGAACTTGCACCCAAATCACAAAAGAAAAAAAGAAAGAGCCCAGGTGTTTAGACACACAGACTTGTTATAAACCCAGTTTCTCTACCCCCCAGCCTTGGCTTCCTTGTCTGTAAAATAAGGCTAAAAATACTTTACTTGGGAGAATTTTTCTCAAATTTTCTACTTGAGGAGAACATAAATATCGTAAGATGCAGAGATATAATCATGTGTAGGTCAGGACATTTCTAAAAATGCATCCATCCATGTAATGATCAGCCAGCTCAAGATAAGGACCCCCAAAGGCTTCCTCACGCTGCCTCTTCAGTAGCCCCCACTCTCCCTGAAGGCAACCACTGTCCTAACTTCTCTGCATGGGTTCGTTTTGCCTGGTCTAGAACTTCACGTAGGAGGACTCACACTATCTCCTTCTTTCACTCAGTGTCAGGCCTGTGAGAGTCACCTGCATCCTGGCATCTAGTGGTAGTTCTTCCCTTTCCATTGTGATATCTTTTCCCTTGTATGGATATGCCACAATTTGTCACCCACTCTTCTGCTGATGGGCGTTGGATTGTTTCCAGTGTTTGGCTACTGTGAATACAGTTGTTACGGATGTTCTTGAACTTGTCTTTTGTCCACCTTTGGCTTTTAACCTCACACAGTGCTACCTCCGTAGAGAAGTCAGAGGTAACTAGAGTTGATCTCATCCGTTCCACCCCTAGTTAACCAACATCTTTTCTTCTGTTACAACGCAAAGTGCCCTTACCTTTATATAAACATCCAGCCTTTTCCCACGGGCCCTGGATCAGCTCCTTTTACTTTCATAAGCATTTTGCGCCTCACATACCTTATCCCTTTACAAAAAGAGTGTGGGGGCGGCATTCTCTTCCATCCTCCCCCAGCTTCATGAGGGGGAAGGAGAGGAGGATAAACAGCAACAGCCCAAAGCTGATTCCCGTAAGGTGTAAGTCAGACACCATCACCCTCCAGCCTTCTTACCAGCGCATGCTCTGCCTCTCTGATGGATTCGATGATTCGTTGCAGTGGCCACACAGAAGTCACAGACAATATTCACCATTATAGGGTTTATTAGGGAGCTCTGGTAGCGTAGTGCCTAAGGCACTTGACTGCTAACCAGAAGGCTGGCGGTTCAAACCCACCAGCCACTGCTCAGAAGGAAGGTTGGGCAATCTACTTCCGTAGTGATATTGCCTCGGAAACCCAAGGAGGGGTCGCTATGAGTCAGATCTGACTCGACGGCACATAACAACAACAGGGAAGTAACAGGTGGATATGCTCCACTCTAGGCTGCTCTTCCTTGATGGTACCCTTTCAGCCTCTGTTGTTGTGTTGTTAGGTGCTGTTGAGTCGTCTCTGACTCATAGCGACCCTACACACAGCAGAACGAAACACTGCCCGGACCTGTAACTAGATCAACTCTAGTTCTGCCTCTGGGAGGCTCATTTTAAGCCTAGCAGAATGACAGAAGTGACCAATCTCCACATTAGGATTCCATACACCTTATCGCAATGGTCCCACCCTCCAAGAGTGCCACGTACCTTATTTACATTGTTAATAAGGTATCCAATCCCCTTCGTGGGCCACGAGCACCTCACATTTACATAGTGCCCCTGATCATTTGGTAGGAGTCACAAAGACCATGGTGAGAAGAGCCACACCAAGTAATTCACTGCTCGCCCCTTTCTATATCATCTTTTGTCTCTCTGTTAGGTCATTCCTACTGGCATAGGAATATCTGTAGTATCTTCCATTGATAAAACACACATGCACCTCTAGACCTCACATCCTTCTTGAGCTAATGCCTATTAGAACAAATCTCATCATAGCATTGTCCACCATCGCCATCTCTGGTTCCTCACTTCCCATTTGTTTCTGTTTCTTAGTGCTGCACTGCCATAGTGAGTGGCTTTAAAGGACAGGAATTTATTTTGTCACAGTGCAGGAGGCTGAAAGTCCAAATCAGAATCTTGACCACATTGATTCCTTCCCTGTTGGTAGCCCCAGCTATTCCTTCATCTTGGCTTGTTGATGATCCTCATATGATATCTGTCTTTCTCCATGTGTATGTCTGTGTATCTGTGTGTATCTCAGAAGTGATTAGGTTTATGATCCACCCAAACAGGATTACATCCACAGCTATGTTGTTGTTGTTAGGTGCCGTTGCATTGTCTCCGACTCATAGTGACCCTATGCAGAGCAGAAAGAAACACTGCCAGTTCCTGTGCCAGTCTCATGATCCTTGCTATACCTGAGCCCATCATTGCAGCCACTGTGTCAATCCATGTTGTTGAGGGTCTTCTCCTTCTTCGTTGATCCTCCACTTTACCAAGCATGATATCCTTGTCCAGGGAATGGTTTTTTCTGACAATATGACCAAAATAGGTGAGGTGAAGTCTGGCCATTCTCGCTTCTAAGGAGCATTCTAGCTGCACTTCTTCCAGGACAGATTTGTTAGTCCTTTTAGCAGACCATGGTACTCTTAGCATTCTTCTCCAACACCACAGCTGAAAAGCATCAACACTTCTTCGGTCTTCCTTATTCATGGTCCAGCTTTTACATGCATAAGAGGTGACTGAAAATACTATGGCTTGAGTTAAGCGCACCTTAATCTTCAAGGAGATATCTTTGCTCTTCAGCACTTGAAAGAGGTCTTTTGCAGCAGATTTGCCCAATGCAATATGTCGTCTGATATCTTGACTGCTGCTTCCATTGGTGTTGATTGTGGAACCAAGTTATATGAAATCCTTGACAACTTCAATCTCTTCTCCATTCATTGTGAAGCTGTTTATTGGACCAGTTGTAAGGATTTTTGTTTTCTTTATATTGAGGTGTAATCCATACTGCAGACTGTAGTCTTTAATTTTCATCAGTAAGTGCTTCAAGTCATCCTCACTTCAGCAAGCAAAGTTGTGTCATCTGTGTATTTCAGGTTGTTAATGATGCCATGTTCTTCTTAATATAATCCAGCTTCTTGGATTATTTGCTTAGCATACAGATTGAATAAGTATGGTGAAAGGATACAACCCTGACACACTCCCTTCTTGATTTTAAACCATGCAGTATCCCCTTATTCTGTTCGAATGACAGCCTCCTGGTCTATGTACAGGTTCTTCATGAGTACAGTCAAGTATTCTGGAATTCCCATTCTTCTCAGTGTTATCCATAATTTTGTTATGGTCCACACAATCAAATGCTTTTGCTTAGTGAATAAAATATAAGTAAACATCTTTCTGGTATTCTTTGCTTTCAGCTAACATCCATCTGACATCAGCAATGATATCCCTTGTTCCATATCCTCTTCTGAATCCAGCTTGCATTTCTGGAAGCTCTCTGTCAATATACTGTTGCAATTGTTTTTTAAATTATTTTTAGTAAGATTTTACTTGCATGTGATATTAATGATATTGTTTGATAATTTCCACATTCTCTGGGATCACCTTTCTTTGGAATGGGTACAGATATGGATCTCTTCGAGTCAAATGGCCAGGTAGCTGTTTTCCAAATCTCTTGGCATAACCGGATGAGTGCCTCCAGCGGGGCATCCGTTTGTTGAAACATCTCAATGGGTATTCTATCAATTCCTGGAGCTTTCTTTTTTGCCAATTTCTTCAGTGCAGCTTCAACTTCTTGATCATATATCATCTTCTAAAATGGATGAACATTGACCAATTCTTTTTGGTACAGTGACTCTGTGTATTCCATCCATCTTCTTTTGATGTTTCCTGCAGTATTCAATATTTTGCCCATAGAATCTTTCAATATTGCAACTCAAGGCTTAAATATTTTCCTCAGTTCATTCAGCTTGAGAAATGCTGAGTGTGTTCTTCCCTTTTGGTTTTCTAACTCCAGGTCTTTGCACATTTCATTATAGTAATTGGCTTTGTCTGCTGCAGCTGCTCTTTGAAATCTTCTGTTCAGCTCTTTTATCTTGTCATTTCTTCCATTTGCTTTAGCTGCTGTCAGCTCAAGGCCAAGTTTCAGAGTCTCTTCTGATATCCATTTTGGTCTTTTCTTCTTTTCTTATATTTTTAATGACCTCTTACTTTCTTCATGGATGATATTTTTGATGTCATCCCACAATTCCTCTGGTTTTTGGTCATTGGTGTTCAATGCATCATATCTATTCTTTAAATGGCCTCTAAATTCAGGAAGGATATTATCAAGGTCATAGTTTGGCTCTCATGGACTTGCTTTAATTGTTTTCAACTTCAACTTGAACACACATATGAGCAGTTGATGATCTGTACCACAGTCAGCTCCTGGCCTTGTTTTGGGCAAAGATATTGAGCTTCTCCATTGCCACCTGCCATGGATGTAGTCAATCTGATTCCTGGTATTCCATCTGGTGAAGTTTGCATTGCTTACGTTGTTGAAAAAAGGTATTTGCAACGAATAAGTCGTTGGTCTTGCAAAATTCTATCATGGGATCTCCAGTGTTATTTCTATCACCAAGGCCATATTTTCCAATTACTGGTGATTGTTCTTTGTTTCCAACTTTTGCAT